GGGAAGCACGTGCTCTCTTTTCGTGGAATTAGTAGCTTTTTATACTAATCATAGCATCAAATGGAGAATCTTGAATTATTTTCTAGGTTGAGGCTCAGAAGTATATTTCAATGGCTATGCTCTTATGCTTCAATGGGACACATGTGCTCCTTCAGATGTTGAACTATAATTCCCAAGAGCTCAAATCAATAAAACCAATTGGAAGGGATATTGCAGACTGAAGATCAATGCTATCTGGAAAGTCACAGCTTCCCGATTTGTCCACAAATTGTTGATTCAAGAAAGCATTGGCAGATAATTGCACTTTCCATAATTAGACATATCATGGTTCCATTTTATTCCATTTTTAAATTCCATAGAAGGCAGTTAACTTGAGTTTGTTCTGATCATTTTGACTGCCCTATTCTACACTTTTCCATCAATACACAAAGGACATCCCATTCCTTATCCTCTTTCCATTTAATCTAAGTAAGAGACTCATTAAACTAGCAATCAATCTAGGCAAGATGGAGATTCAGCTGGGGGCAGGGATGATCTGTCTACCTACTAGGCCATCTTCTGCTTCTTCTGATGACAATTGGATATCGTCTAAAAGACATAATCTCTAATTCTGCATACTTCTCCAGGTTGCCTTCCATCCATTTTAAGCTAGTCTGCAAACCGTAACTCAGTCTGAATAGCCAGGCATGCTATGTTATAACTATAGATGTACTACAAAACTCCATATTGCATTAATACACATTATGTGGGTCTTCCTATAGGAAAAAATGAAAGTCCAAAATACTGCAAAGATAATTAATGTGAATTAAAAAATAAATACCGCAAATACCATATTATACTGACTGCCTCCTATAATCAGTACAGAGACCATCAGTCAGTCCCATTACTATTTTAGGGTTCCAGATTTCCTTTCTTTGCCTTATGTCATGATGATGTACATGGACTCCAGCAATTGACACTCTGACATCTTGTTCTCAATGAATGTTGGTTTAGCTGAGGGACCTGGTTAAGGAACCAGGCTAGAAAGCAGGAGAGCATGAGTTCTCATCCTGCCTTAGCCATGAAAGCCAGCTGGGTGACTTTGGGCCAGTCATTCTCCTTCAGCCCAACTCATCTTACAGAGTTGTTGTTGTGGGGAAAATAGGTGGGGGAAGGTGTTTTCGATATGTTTGCCACCTTGAATTATTTTTTAAAATAATAAAGACCGGATACAAATAAAATGAATAAATAACAAATAGCTCTGGGCCTCATAGCCCCAACGCCTTTCAAATGTTCAGATAGAAAGTGAAACATGGGAACATGAGCTGCAACAGAAGTCACAAAACTTTGTATCTTCCAGATGGTCATAATTTTGAGACCAAATTCCCTAAAGAAATTACCCTGCTGATTCCAGAGAATGCTGAATGGATTGGTGCAACCTCTGTAAGTAAAGCTTCACATCTTCATATTCTCTGAGAATATGGTAATAGACAGCAAGTGACTTTTCTTGTTTTCTATTTACCTTTGGGGAGTAAAAGTTGTCAAGCTCAGAATCCTCTTCCTTCTGGATTCATATACTTTCTGCATGTGGGTGTTTGACTGTAGACCTTCGAGATTATCCAGCTTAGGAAACAGACTCCACAAAAAGACTAGAATTAACTTTGTTCATATAGAACAGGAGTCTCCAAGCGTGACTGGTTGAGGAATTCTGGGTGTTGAAGTCCACAAGTCTGGAGACCTTCAATATAGCCTATATTAGCAGAATCTTGTAAGTCCAACTGGGTTTTCTTTCCTTGACTCTTATACCTCAAAGAGTCAGAAAGGAGACAGCTGGAAGCTCCTCTTACTATTACCTCCTTTCCAAGAGCCCAAAGAGTAATTCTGCCCTTTTTATTTTGTAATGTTTCCACTTTTGAATATTTCCCTCAAGGCCATCTCTATGGCTCTCTACAGGCTTCAGTGCAAGAGGCAGTATGTCTTTCAAAACAAGGCCCCGGAGTGGTAGAGCCTCTTTTGCACCCCCCAAGTTTTTTTGGGGGGGGTGAAAGGAGTGCTCCCACGGAGTTCAGACTTGTCTCCGCTTCCCAGCTGTTTTTGTCCTCAGGGACAAAACGAGCCGCTGCAAACACCTCCGTGCTTAAAGAGAACTGGTGAGTTTTTTTTTTTTTTTTTTATAAACGGACAGAGCTGAGTAGAGGATTTAGTTTTTGCTTTCTTTGACTTATTTGGATTTTAAGTTTTAAGACTTGTTTCTATTTTTATTCTCTCTTTTTATTTTTTTTTTCTTTGTTGAAAGGGAAAGTAAAATGGCGATCGGCAAATCTCTCGGTGTTTTTTTTCTGGAAGTTAGACTGCTGACCGGCAGGCTTTTTGGTGTTTCTCTTTCTTTCCTTTCCCTTTCCCTTTTTATTTTCTTATGATTGGAATGGTTGTTTTTGGTATCTCTAAGTATTTTTTTGGAACGGACTTTTTCTATTTAATTGTTTTTTTTTTCTTCTCCCTTTTTTTTCTTTTCTTTGAACTCCCTTCTTTTTATTGTAATGACCCTTTTTTGAAGGACCTTTTTCTGTTTAATTTTTGCAATTTTTAAGGAGTAAAGCTTTTTTTTAATTCCTTTTCTCTTCTTTTTTTTCCCTTTTTTCTTTTTATTATAATGACCTTCTTTGGAGGGAGTTATGATTTTTGAAGGAATTTTTATAATTTTTTAAGAAGGACTAAAGGTTTTTCTTTAAGATGGCTCCAAAGCGTCCAGGGATTTCTACAGCTTCTAAATCAACAGTTTCACCCTCTTCTGGGGGTCAGCTAATAACTATGAAGGATTTGCAAGACATGATGGGAGATGTTATAATTCAAATTAGGGCAGAAATGAAAAAGATTTTAGAGGAAAATAATAAGATCTTGAGACAAGATTTTGTTTTGGCTTTAGAAGGAGTTGCTTCTGTTCTTGAAAAGGTGAACTCCCATGTGGAAGAGGTAGCTGAAAAAGTGGACATAATGGAGGGGAAAATTGAAAGTATGGAAAAAGAAATGGAAAATGAGATTCTTATGCTTCAATATGGACAAATGGAATATGCCTTAAGAATTAGGGGCCTGGGAGAGTCTTTGCAAGGAGATCTGAAAGAGATGGTTGCAAAGGACTTTGCATTGATTTTGAATAAAGAAAAAGAGGGAATACTTAGTGAAATTGAAAAATTATTTAGGGTTAACTCTGTGGTGGCAGCACAGAAGAATCTGCCAAGAGATGTGGTAATTTACTTTGGTAAAAGATCTTTACGCAATGAAATTGTGCAAGCCTATTATAAGAAGAGATTTCAAATTGCTTCACAAGATGTTATAATTTTTAAGGAGATCCCATCTAAAATTTTAAGAAGAAGAAAGGAGTTTGCTTTTCTAGCAAATGAACTTAAAAAGAGAAAAATTTTATTCAGATGGGATGTTCCGACTGGAATGGTGGTGAACTACCTGGGGACATGTTATAGACTTAATACTGTTTCTCAAGCAAAAGATTTTTATACTTCGGTCCTGGGGGTATGTGCATCGCCATCTATTAAGTTTAAAGCTTTGGAAGAAAAGAATGTAGAATTACAGTTTGAAGAGCCTATATTTATGAAAACTGGCGAATCTTTGTGTGAGAGGCCTCAACAAGTCCAGGTTGAGGAGCAGAAGACAACTTGTGCAGCATACAATTCCAAAGAAAAGCAGCAACAGAAGAAGGTTAAGGAAGTTTCATATTCAGTGGTCTCTGAATCTCTGGGAGATGTTAGACCTACAAAGTCTTTGGAGCAATCTTCAAGGGTGGAATTGCTGTCTGAAATGGAAATTGGGAAATCTCAGTTTGAGGGGCATCAACAAGAGAGGAACGGGCAGAGGATAACTTGTACAACTTACAATTGTAAAGACCAACACAAGGAGGAATTCAAGGAACCCTTACCTGTATTGGCTTCGGAGTTGATGGGACATTCAGGAATTTTGGAGCAGTCTCCTAAGGCAGAACTTGCAGCATTTCTTACGAGTTTGATACAAGAATGGAGAATGGAAATGGAAGAATGGAAGAATGGAGAATGGAAAAAACTGGAATGTGAATAATTAATAATAATACTAATATAATTGAGACTGATAAGGATGCAGTTTCTTACGGATGGAATTTGTTATTGGTGAAGATTGAAATGTTTAATGTGTTTATTATGGATAGGCGTATAAGGGAATTTTGTTGTTTTAAGTTTTGAACCTTTAATGATAATATTGTTTAAATTTGTGTTTTGAAGGGATTATAATTTGCTCATTTTAGTGAGGGGATTCTAATGTTTTAAATTTTAAGTAATGTTTAAATTTGTGTTTTGAAGGGAGTATAACTTGTTCAAGTTTTAAGTATGCTTAAATTTGGTTTTTAAATATTATTAATATTTTTAAGAGAAAATAATTTGTTTAATTAAATGTCTAGATTTGTTTAGGAAAGAAAGTAATGTTTAAATTTGTGTTTTTGGAGGGAGTTTATATAGAATGATGATTGTATTTAGATTTGTTTAGGATTTAAAAGTGTTTCTAGTTTTCAAATATTATTATTAATATTTTTAAGAGAAAATAATTTGTTTAATTAAATGTGCTTAGATTTGTTTAGGACTTATAGGTTTTTTAAGTTTTTTCTTTTTGGATAGGAGAGAAGATTATGAAGATTGAAGGAAATATGTATTTACTTTAAGTTTTTTAAGAGTATTTAGTTTTAATGGTATAACAAAGGTTTATATGTTTATTTTTTCGTTTTAGGATAAAGAAAGAGGGAGAAATTAGATTTTACACTATAGATATAGATATTCAAAGAAAGTAATGTTTAAATTTGTATTTTTGGAGGGAGTTTATATAGAATGATGATTGTATTTAAATTTGTTTAGGTTTTAAAAGTGTTTTAAGTTTTTTTTTTTTTTAATTAAGCCTGTACTCAGCTCTGGGAAGTCCAGGGGAGGGTTTGGGAGGTTGGGAAGGGGGGGGGTGAGGTATGGTTGGCGGGGGTATGGGAAGGGGATTTGTTTTTGTAAAATTTAAAAAATTTTCAATAAAAAAAAAAAAAACAAGGCCCCGGAGACATGAGTAGACTCTAGTTTTTTGTGCTCTGCTTTTGATCTTCCCACTAGTAAATGTTTGTCAACTGTACAAGCAGGATTCTGGATTGACAAGACTGACTCAACATCTAGGATGTTCCTACTTTTCTGCAGTCTGATCTCCATACCACCTCCACCCTATATGAGAAGGCAAATAGCCAAAGAGAATAAAGAGCCCTATTAAAGAGCCTTCTTGTAATGTGGGGAATATTCAGCTGTATCAAGTGTCTTCAAGCTGCAATCATACTGCCATCTCAACACAATGTGAGATTATTTTCAACTAAATAAATTTAGGATTATGTTATTCTCTATCACCTTGCAGAAGTGTTTTATTTTTCTCCCTCTTCTTTTGGGATTCTGCATTAAATTTTGGAACCTGTTCTTCTTTTCATAATAATTTACAAATCAACAAAAGTGTGATTTTTCAGTTCAATAGGCCAGTTGTGGGTATTTGCTGATATTATTGCTTAGCATACAATTTGCAACATGAATGTATGTATGTCTGTATGTATATAAGAAAATTGGCCCCAACGAATGTATTTAGGTTTGAAACCTTCAGCTGCAATCATGCCTGTCAGATGACACCACACATGTGCCAGTCAACTATTTCAGTCCAACCATTTTGTGGCAGGATAATGTCTACAGAGACATCCAAATGGGACAACATCACTACCTACACTAGGTGCTTTGAGCTGGCATCCTCTAGATGTGTATAGCGCACATCATCCCCAGCCCAAGCAGTTATCTATGATCTGGTGGTATTATCATTGTTGTTGTTAATGCTCAGTCGGCTAGATGTTTAGACTGAATTTGGAATATCTGCCCCCCTATCAAGTCCTTCCCAAGGACCTAAAGTAGACAGTAATAGTATTAAAGGTATTAGGCTGTAAGCTGTTCCAGTTGAAACTGCCTTTTGCAATTGACTGATGGTGATTTTTGTCAATGCCAATGGTGTTGATGCTTTAGATGTTTCAGAATTGCATCCAGGGTGCCTATTACTATCGGTATTATCTTTCCTTTCTTTTGCCACAGTCATTCTAATTATTATTTTTTACCACTATGATTCAGACAATAATCCATTTGAACCAGTTTGGTGTAATGGATAAGGCACCAGGCCAGAAATCAGGAGACTGTGAGTCCTAGTCCTAGTCCCACCTTAGGATCAAAGCTAATCAAGTGAACTTGGGCTAGTCACTAATTCTCAGTCCTAGGAAGCAGGCAATGGCAAACCACTTCAGAAATCTTCCCAAGAAAACTGCAAGGACTTATAAAGGCAATTACCAGAAATCAGCACAGATTTTGAGGTATAAAAAAAATTCAATTGGATCCAAAACAGAATCAAAGAGAAAGGCCAAACATTCTCTTTCCCAGCAGGGGAAGGTCAGCAATTAATATTAATATTTATCAGTTATAAAGCACTACTATTTCCATTGTGAAATCAATGGCAATAGCGAGGAAAATAACTCATACAGCTGAATTTGGTACTATAACCACAGAAAGAGTCCCGGGAAGGCTACAAATATGGAAAACTTGTTGGCATTTTCCTTATCATTCTTTCTTATTGTTTTAAAAATATTTCTTTCTTATTCTCATATTCTCTCATTCTTTTTTCTCTCTTTAAAAAAACTAATCTTCAAGATGCTTCTCTGTCATGCTTCTGGACTTATCTGAATTCTAAAATGACTTTTAAACACTTTAAATAAATAAAGATGTTGGCATTTTGCGAGGTAAAGTGTCAACCTACAGTATCATGTTTATTTCCTAGAATTCCTGCATCAAGAATATTCTTTTTATGAACTATAGCAGTATTTTCCAATCTGGAAGATGTCTCAGTTTCAACTCCCAAAATTCTGCAGGCAGCATGAGGAATGGGGAATTCTGGGAGTTGAATCCAGACATCTTAACTGGCCAAGGTTGAGAAACAATGAACTAGAATATTTCATTGTGCCCCGTGGGCAAAAGTATATCATGTGTAGGTTCAGAGTTTACTTCTTTTACTTAGGTTTCAGGGCAGTTTACTTTTTTATATAAAGCTCCCTCAAGTTGCATTCCACTTCTGGTGACTTTATAGCATGTTCATGTCATGTCTTTCCTTGGCAAGAATATGCCAGAACTGTCTTTGTTTTCTAGAATGTTTTTCTCCACTCATTCTCATTTACAGGGCTGGGCTATGCATGTGTGGTCCTCATCAAACTAATAACTAGTTCAATATCTGCTTAGATTTTTCAAGACCAGTCAAGGTTGGCTAAGTGCTGCCACCTTCTATAACTTGTCTTCTAACAAATAAGAATTTTGTAATTGGACAAACCCTCCATAACATCCATTCTATGAATATACCCACAACACGTTCTTGTAGTTCAGGCCCCAAATTGCTCCCAAATAGAAGGAACTTCATAAAACAATGTAATCCTTCATCATAGATCATCTGAGGTTCCTTCATTTTGCAGCTTGGAACCTTTAAGCCATTGGCCAAATATATTATGTATAACAGGATAAGCAATGGTCCAATCACGTTGTTTGCACAACAGCATTTGATAACAATTTGCAATTCAAACAAGTTGTGTAGCAACTATGCAAAATTTCAGATCAGAAGACTTTGTGCAAAGGAAAAAAAATGAAAATGAGTGCCATCCTTGAGCCTTGTCAGGATCATATGCCATGTGGGCAGAATTTGCCTGCAATACTGCATTATAACCACTGCACCACCAGGGCTCCAAGGAAGGTAGCCAATGCAGAAAGAACCAGCATGTGATCAATTAAAAGTTGGGCAAAAAATGCCCACAAGTCTGGAGCCTTTCTAATTGTCTCTGATCTCTAGCTAAGCTTTTCCTTTCAGCTGCCCAACATTATTTTTACTCCATCTATTCAGGACATATAAATATAGTCACTCTATGGATAACCCAACTCAAAAGCTGACTATCTCCCACAAGGTTTCATTTCAGAAGACTATCAACGATAGAAGAAATCAACTCAACTTCTCTTGTTCAATGCTGCATCAACTGAAATGCAAATAGGTCATACAATGTACAGAGCTGGCTAATGTCTCAGCAGTGAATTGGCACTGTGACCAGAAATCCTTGGTGGGAGGGTAGAGATTGAATTAGCACATCTGCCAACCCAATGAAGTCTGCCAAATATATTTTCAAGTACAGAAATAAGGCTGAAACACAAATGTTTTGGGAGAAAAGAATCAAGAGGCACAATTGGAAATCTACGTGTATTCACAAATTTGACTGTTCCTGGTGACTTTGTCGACATGCAGGCTTCTTGCCCCTGACTTCTTCCAAGCCAGCTAGTTGGTTATTTGGCTTTCTACCCTAACTTGTTAGTTCATCTTGGATTTTCTGGTGATCTTCTTTCTAAGTACTAGTTTGATTTTGCTTAGCTTTTCAAGATCAGCCAAGGTCAAATATGCTGCCATATTTGGGGCAGAAATTGCCCTATTGCCACCTAAAATTGGCCCTCAGTGTGAGAAGGAAAATGGAAAAAAGAAGACAGAAATGAAAGATGACAACTTGCTTGGCAACTTAATCAAAAAATCAAATACTGGAAAGGGTCTTTTTCTGACTCTAGAATTTTTCCAGTAAACTCCCTCTCCAAATATTTAAATAATGGTGCACTGATACAGATTTTAAAAATAACAACTTATCCACTCCAGTGAAATCTGCTCTTTTAAGCAACTGCTTCACAGCAGCTATGTTTGAACAACACAACTGACTCAGTAATCCCCGATCAACTGACCTACTGTCATGCACTATCAATGCAGTCTTGAACAGTCAGCCAAGAGTCATTTGAAAAATATATATTTAAATATATATCACAAATAATATGACTTGGATTGGCATACCATATTTACAGCCCCCTTTTCCATCCCGGTGTGACCATAGAGGTGTGAAGGAAAACCAAACCATCCCAGGAGATTGTATTTAGGGAAGACCAAAGAAAGAAGGTCCTCTCAAAGATTCATCTCAATCATGGACAACAGAAAGGACAATTAATGCTCAGGCAATATTACTGGACCAATGATTCTATTAGCTCCAAATCAATCCTGGAAAAATGGGTGGATTGATTCACTATGGTCCGTAGTTTGCAGAACATATTAACATTCATCACACATCCATTGATTAAGTCAAACATATAAGGTAAGCAGGAGGACTATTAATGGAGAACAAGGCCAAGCCTTACTACACTGTCTAATCTAAATAACAATTTTCCACAGCAGTTCAAGCATGGCATTTACTACTACAAGAAGTTCTGGAAACCATACTTACGTCCTTCATACTTAATTTGAGAGAACTGCCCAGAATGGCTCATTGCTGATAAACCTCTTAAATCAATGGTCTTATATGATAATGCCAGATTATATTTTTACTGCTTGAGTAATGGACCCCACAGAATATAAGCCAGTGCCTTCCTTGTGTTAGTTTGACTGATCTCCTTGAATTCTGCCAAAAAGCAAATGAGGCTGCACCATTTCAGAGCAGTCTTTGAAGACTGCACCAAGAAATTCAGCGAGTGACACATGACTTGTATCCTACAAACTTACAAATTGAGTTATACAACAAAAATGTCATGTATGAGAAGATTTGGGGTATGAACAGTGGATCATGTGGGATGAGAGTTAGATAATATTAATATTCTTCTGTGAAACACTTTTGGGGTTTGGGGGGAAAACAAGCCTGGTTGCTAATCAGATCACTCCCACTCCCAGTTTCAATTTGTCTTCCAACTGATTGAAAAAAAATATATTAATTTTAAGTCTGATGAAATGCAAAATTTGCAACTCTTTTGAGTATAATCAAAACATGCCTTATTAATTTAAGCACTGAAAAGAGGTCGTAAAAGTTTCAATCCCATGATTATACCATAGCATCAAAACAAAAATGAATCAAAAAGCACCTTTTTAAATTTCCTGGTAATACCTCAACAACTTGAATGGGAACTCTGAATAATTTGGTAAACTTTGCCACGCGCATTAATATGCATATTTTCCACTTCAGCCAAAAGAACAAAGGGTTGAGAATGTTTTCGTGACCCTCCAAAATCAAGATGAAATAATGCAGGAGCCAAATTTCCAACCATGGTGGCTGTTGGCTCTCAGGTTGGAGCCTCAACAAAGCCTGAGAGCACTGTAGTATGGGGAAACTGTTCTGACTAATCTCCTGTCCCTTTTGTTATGCTGAGTAGCATCGGCTCTGCAGCATAGATTCGTTGCCTTTCAAAGCAACATGAGATCAACTTTATCAAATCTACATGTCACCGACTCAATCCTGGCAATACATTTCAGCTATCAACAGGAAATGAGCAAAAGGAAATTCGGACAACCATTTCACTTAGAAGCTAAAGATAGAAAGAAGCTTTTGCTCACTCTACAGCTGCTAGAGATCAAAAGCTCTCCCAGCCTCCATTCAGGCAGAGAACCATCTTGATTTGCACAACCAACTTCTCAAGCTGTAAAACTTTGATATTCCTGAACCCAGGAGTTTCATTCGGAACTGGACCTCAGCTGGCAAAGTACAGAAACCAATAGGAGTGAAATCCAGCATACCTGAACCCAGGAGATCAAGCTATTCCCCCTTCTTTCCATATGCCAGACAGACGGGGCAGGCACATCACTCACCAGAACACCTGAGCCATAATTCAAGGTGTATGTGGGGGGGGGAACTTCTTGTAACACTGACTGAGTGTAGTTACGGAATATTTTATTTTACACAATATAACAACATAGAGTTGTTGAGATTTTACAGCATTTGCCTAAAAATGAAGGCAACACCATTACCACGGGGGGAGGGTGGGGGGAGAGAGGGAAGAAAAAGACACTCAAGATTGCTTTTAAAAATATTCTTTTTTGTATCATGATTGATCCATTAAATGGTTGGTGTAGAGGAAAGACAAATGGCCTCCATACAAGGCCTTTTCTGCCCATGCGCTTTTGTTCTTGATCTGCCACTGGAGAACCAAGATGCCAATCCAAGGAAAAAGGAAGGCACTAGCGTCATTTCGTGCTTTTTCCTTGATCACTTTTTTTTTTAAAAAATGAGCTCTTTGAACAAGATATTTGCCTTCGGTTGTTATACTAAAACCAAGAAAACCCAAATGGGAACAAGTGGAAGGGCCTGGTGGTTTGAGCCCAACTCTGCCCAAAAAACAATAAGGGTGGAAAATGCAAACTGCTGGAATGGATACATGTTTTCCAATAATGTTTGGAGGATGGGGTACTCCATACTTTTTTTAGTTTAGAAAAAAGAAAATCACACATCACAGCTGATCACACAGTGCTTTCCAATATCCACTCAGAACTTGAGAAAGTTGCTTTGCCACTATCCACATTGGAACAGTCTGTCTGCATTAGCATCCCATTCATAGACAAGCTCCGCTTAGACCAAAATCCACCTGCATTTGAGGAGTTAATATAACAATGGTATTCCATTAATTCTCCATTCAGGGAGTACCTGCGTTTTGCCCGGGATGGGTCAGCTGGCAAAGTGAGGAACTTACTTGACTTGGCTTGTGCTCTTTTGTACTGGGAGCCCCCTTTGGCATAGTCTGGGGTTTGGCTAGCCAACTGCAGAGCAGTTGAGTTGTTGCGATTAGTGTTCTGGGATTCTAGGCTGGTAGCGGCACCTTCGCTTGGCGGTGGAGGATCACTGCTGGGCTTTGGCATGGACTTACGCTTCAGCTTTTGGGAAGTGGGAGGGCCAGGAGTCCACATGGGAGGCAAAGAGGAGGTAGCAGTGGAGGAGTCCTGGCTGCAGCAGGCTTCCGACGACTGTGCCACACTGTCGTTGCTGACTTTGCAGCACTGCAGGCTCTCCTCATGCCCCACGGCCTGCTTGGACCCAGACTGGGGCATGACGGCTCCACTGCACCCCTGGGCCTGAGCCCCGTTGGTCTGGGAGTAAACGTTGCTGACCTTGGTCACCTTGTGGTGCCCGCCGTTGTTACACACCTTATAGCGAATCATGAGGATGATGATGAAGACCAGGACAGAAGCCACGATAATCCCTCCGATTATGATGATCATGGTCCCACCCAGGAACTGGGACTGCATGAAATGGCAGCGCACGTAGTCCTGCTCTGTCGTGAACTGGGTGCACCCCACCACGCGAGTAGCTGTCAAGGAGGTGATGCCATCGTCATAGATTGCTAAGACACACAAGTCGTACATCGTCCCCGCAGCCAAGTTGTTGACCAGGAAGGTCTTGCTCATGGGAGGTATCATTCTACAAGATGATAGGATAAGACATAGATTAATACACTGGATAGAGAGGATATACCATGAAGTGGATCTCCAGATGCTCTGCCCAAGCCTGCTTTCCCAATGCCTCCTAGCTGTGATGGGAGATGCAGTCCCAATAAAACTGAGAACATAGGATGGAAATGAACTTTTGTTTTTCCTTTTCCATTTGACACAATAGTCAATCTAAATAAAGCAGAGTTTGACACTAGGTTAAATAAGGACAGGGAAAGTGAAAACTATTGCCAGAGCACTGGAAGATTCCCCATGTACTGTACTTCCTCCTCAAAAACATACTCTGTTGCCAGACATTATGTCTCTTGCCCCAGGTTATCAAACATAAATCTAGGGCTCTCAGTGTTTTAAATATGCACTAGTCCATGGCACAGTAGAAAATAGCATTTCAATATAGTCTATAGATGGGATGTTTTCTCAACTATTCAAAACAATCCACCGTTGATTAAAAATGCTGAAGCAATTCCAAATCATACTGAAAGCATCCATCTAATATAGGAATAAAGCAAATCCGGATGAAAGGAAAGATATTATCCAAAGCTCAGGCTAGTGTGAAAGGCAGGAAGAGGCCAAAATAATTACGTACACTTCTTGCTTTCATGTTTCCTTTAGAATATAGAAATTCTTCCATTTATTAAATTTAAGTACGCAGCTCCCAGAGTTCCCCAAAGTATTCTTCAAACAGTTATGTTGAACTGTAAGCCTGCATAGAGGCTCATGCTTTTTTTTTTTTTTTTTTTTTTTGAAACTTTGGAAACAAGGCCCAGGGGCAACCTAAATGGGCTGGGAGCTGCTTAGCTACCACCATCGTTTCTCCTCTTGCTTCTCGTGAGCTCAGAAGCAAGTTTGATTAGATATTTAATTATTTATTTATTCATACATTTGTTCATTTGATATATTTAGCTGCCCTCCTCAGCACGGAATTCATAGTCCCTCAGTCTCCATCCTAATCCATATGCATTGCTCTTCCTGGAGTGGAAAGAAAGTAAATGTGATCTCCACAACCACTTTCTAAGGCAGGGGTCTTCAAACTTGGCAACATTAAGACCTTTGGATTTCAACTCCCAGAATTCTAGGAGTTGAAGTCCACAAGTCTTAAAGTTGCCAAGTTTGAAGACCCCTGTTCTAAGGGATGAGTTGGTAGCATCTTTTCCCCCAGATGAACAAATAGATCTCTAGAGCTGGGGTTAAGCAGCAAAATTAATTCCAAGGCTTTGTTCTGTGCTGGAATTATAGTACCTGAACTGTTACACTGTCTTTATCCCAGCTTATAGAATCAAATATCCCCCTTCCATCTGTGAGAGAGTAGTGCATGCACACAACAGGTGACCAAACTCCAGACCAAAGTGGCCCCAAGGACATTCTTAGAGTTATTAAAAAGCCAGGATCGGAGATTCAATTAAAATCTTATTTTATACAGCAGCGTTTCCATATCAACAGAAGAGAATATTTGTAAATCAGGATTGAACAGTGGGACCCTTAGTGCTCTCTGAGCTTAGTTGTTTTCTTGCAGACTTTTCATTACCCAGCTAGTAACATCATCAGTGCACTAATGATATTAGCTAGTTGAGTAATGAAACATCTTTCCCACATACCACTCTTCTATTTCTGTCTTTTTATTTATATACTTTTAAAAGTATTAACAGTAACTATACTTTAATCTCAATCATCCTTGCACATATTTTGCTTAAATGATCAGAAAATGATATGCTTATTGCAACCCCCTCACCACCATCATCTTGATTTGGTGTTTTTTAAGTGGGGGGAGGGGTTGTTCTTGATTCTTTTAATCTGCAGGACCAACTCCCATCCAAGGATATGGCATTTTTAAAAAAAAGATATTAAACGACAAACTATTCTTGTACTGTAACTGCTCCATTAATAGTTTTCAGAGCAAATCTCTGTTTAACAAATCAAAATCGTTGCCTGCATGCTCTTTTCCTCTCTGCCTGCCCCAAATGAGATTGAATAATTGGAATTTTCCTGAGAGGCAAATACAGTCATCTTTTTTTGGAACTGTTTCTACTGTCATCCCAAACAGAGGGTATTAATGTCTTCTTAGCAGTCTAGCTAAGTTAACCAGATTACCTTGAAGGATTAAAGTTCAACAAGGATTTATACAAAAATAAAAGAAATTTAAATAAATAAGACTTCAAGGCTGAAAACTACACTGCCCTTTGCCCATAAAAGAGGACAATCACCCAGGCCTCACTCTGGACTGAAGCCAAGGTCTAATAGCTCTCATTTATTTATTAATTGATTTAAAAAAAAAAAAACAGATCTTGCTTTTCAGTTTGCTAAAATTTTCAGACTTGCTTAGAACATTCACAAATAACCAGAACATAAAAACAGTAATGAATCTAACAGCCCGACGAAATAAAATTCTCTGTTTTAATAGACCACCATCAGCTGTTCTTAACATTTGGGCAGGAACATATGGAGGCATATTATCATCTAGGTCAGGGGTAGGGAACTTTAGCTCTTTTAGGACCTGTGGACTTCAATACCCAGAATTCCTGAACCAGCCATACTGTCTCAGGAATTCTGGGAGTTGAAGTCTACAAGTCATAAAAGAGCCAAGGTTCCCTACCCCTGATCTAGTTTATACTCCTAAGCCAGGGATCTTCAAACTTGGCCCTTTTATGACTTGTGGACTTCAACTCCCAGAATTCCTCAGCTAGGCATGCTGGCTGAGGAATCCTGGGAGTTGAAGTCCACAAGTCATAAAAGGGCCAAGTTTGAAGACCCCTGTCCTAAGCAATCAAGAATTTTAAAAGTCAGTTCCTGGAATATGTAGACAATACATACACATTTTTACTCTCTTCCCCAAAAGACCTGTGAAGAAGAAATCAATGCATTTAACACAGCTGTCACTACTGCTGTTCATCATGTTGTTGCTTTTTTGAGCCTAGTTAGACAATCAGATCTCCCAGGCCTTAACCCATTAATAGCTGCAGAAATATTATTTGATCACTAACGTTTTCTTTACCGTAGCTTTTACCCAAACTGTCATGTAGTGCTCAGTAGCATTAATGCAGCACTTAGGAAATAATTTAAAAGGTTACTTTGGAGGACACAGAAGATTAAATGCTATTCCTGCCTGCATTTCTTTAAACCATCGACTTTCCTGTGCCTAGTAACAAAGTTACTTTAAAGCAGAGGTGGGGAATGATGGCCCTTTTATGACTTGTGGACTTCAACTCCCAGAATTCCTAAGCCAGCCATGCTGGCTCAGGAATTCTGGGACTTGAAGTCCACAAGTCATATAGGGGCCACTGTTCCTCACCTCTGCTTTAAAGCATTGTTGTCCAACCTTTTGGCTTGCCTGGGCCACATTGAGTGAAGAGGAAATGTCTTAGGATGCATATAAAATATAGAATATAGTTAATGAATATAAATTATATAATAATGTTAAAAGTTTGCAACCTTGTGGAGCCACATTACTAGCTGTCCAGGACCACAGATTGGACACAGCTGCTTTAAAAAGTTACAGAGAGGTGCTACTTTCATGCTCTCACATACGGATTACCTTTTCTGGATTACTTCCAAAGCACCACCCAACTCTAGTACCATTGTGGAGTGGCAAACTAAAGAAGTAGACCCACAAACCATTCAATGTTATTCTGCAAACTTTAAAGAAAACAGAGTTCTTGGAATCAGATTATGCTTGTGAGTCAATCTGCTACCACACAAGCTAGGTAATCTCTTTGTGTTGTTTCTCCTTGCAGGAGGTTGTTACATTATCACTCTTTCCATCCCAACCTATATATTTAACCATCTGTCCAACAGGCAAAAGGAATACAGTTTCATTCCTGACTTTTCTGGAATTCAGCTGGGCCAGAATCCCCTACCTGTAAACAAGCGAATCATCATATGTTCCATTATACTGAATTTGGAACATACGTATCCCGGGTATATTCCTTTGGAAATTAAATTTAAGCAGGGCAGTGGATGATGTGGCTTCTGCTACCACCACCTTCTTGTCCTGGCTAATTTTTGTTTCCCCGTTGCTACTGCTTGCATTTGAGCCAGATTTGGTCGAAGTTGATATATCCGAGGAGCCAGGATCTGGCTCATGGATGTGGTTTGTGCTATTTACTATGTGAGGCAGTTTGATTATGTGAAGATCTACAGATTGGGTGTCTTCCCCTGCTGGGTTGGAAGCAATACAGGTGAAAGAGCCTGTATCCTTCATGGTCGTGATATGAATGTCAAGTGTTCCGTTGTCATACACCAGAGACCGGGTTGCATTAGAAATCAGCTTGCCTTCTGGAGAAATCCAATGTATAGCAGGCTCGGGGTCACCACGGGCTTTACATCTCAGGATGGCTCTTTGGCCCTCTAGCACTCTGAGCTCATGCGTGTGCCTAGTAATGAGGGGGGGTTCACACAGGAACTCCTCCTCGGGGACCGACCAGAAATAGCGGCCAGACAGAACAGAAGGTGAAGCACATGTCTCCAGGTCATCCTCCCTGGAAAGGCGTCTCAGCCACAAAAGTTCACAATTGCAATGAAGAGGGTTCCCTCCAAAGCTCAGTGCAAATGTGGATGGGCTGATGATTCCTGAGGTGGCTAAAACCTGAGCTCGCTGGAAGAGAGGGTCAGGCGGCAGCTTATGCAGTTTGTTGGACGTGACGTCCAGCCGGGTCATCTTGTGGAGGTGGGAGAACGTCCCCTTGGGAATGTTGTTGATCATATTGTGGTCCAAACTGAGGGTGTGCAAGCTGATCATCTTCTCAACAGCATCCCAGGGGATGGTCTCCAGGTTGTTGTAGGACAAATCCAACTCCTCAAGAGCCAAGACATCGTCAAAAGCAGTGGAAGAGATCATTGTCAGCTGGTTATTGTTCAATATCAAATGATGCAGATTGGAAAGCCCACTTAGCATGTCATGGGTGATTTTAGTCAATCGGTTACTGTTCAAGTGTAAAGCCCTCAGGTTGCGCAAGTCAGCAAATGCATGAGGGGTGATGAAACTAATTGTATTCCTAGACAGTGTCAGGTCTACCAGGCTGGTCATGTTGGCGAAATCTTTCCGCTTGATATTTGTAACAAAGTTGTCTGCCAGCCGCAACTCTACTGTCTTCCTATCAATGTCAGGAGGGACAAACAATAGCCCTTTCTTTGCACAAAGTGTAGCAAGATTGGGAGACCAGATCTGGCATACGCAGCGCTTGGGACAGGTCTCAGCCTTCAGCACTAAGCCAATGAAGAACAGATATAGAAGCAGTTTTTCCATTGTAGAACAGGGTCACGATCCTGGAAAAAAAGAAAAGAGAATACACAGCATTACAGGAGAGCATGTCAAGCAAAGGGAAATCAGAGAGTCCAGGCAATTCAAATGAATATAAAGATTTATTGAAAGCTTATGCTCTCTACAAGAATCTGAACTACTAACAGTCAAAGCAAATTGATGGTAGATAAGAATCAATGGAAATCAAGGTAGGCTGGACTTAAATCTCTTGTGGATATGAAGGGATTCGAGACTGATGACCCATTTGACCCCTCCCTCAGGCTTAACCTAGTCATCTCCTACAGAGTGATTCTACAGGCAATACAAGAACTCAGAAGCATACATGAAAGAAATCTTCACCAGGAGATTGCAGATTCTATTTCACTATATTCCTGCTCACAAGAGAATTAAGTGGACAGAGTTATCTAAGAATTCAGTGCACCATTTCTAGCAACAAATTCATGCAAAATATGTCTTTTCATAGGCCTATCAGGTATCCTCCATTAGGTGTCTGGGAATTCTGGGAGTTCCAATTTATTTGTGAAAAGCCAATAACTTGATTCCCTTCGGTAATAAATGAACCATGGTGACTTAATACTCTTAGTAACTGAAGATTAACATTACATCCACCATTAGAAGAAAATGCAACAAAGGATTCTTACAGCTTTATTTTGCATTTTTATTCAAATAAGTTTGCTAGGATTGGGCTGTTAAAGGTTATTTACTCATGGAAATCTGGGGCATTTCATTCAGCTTTGCCTGCAGCTTGTGATGCTGAATTCTTGCCCAAATGGGCTCCCTCCTGCACACAATTGACCAAAACTGATGGTCTGGAGATGCAGAAATTTGTTTATTACATGCTTTCTTGGAAATTCACCTCCATGTATTTCATAGTAAAATCACAAGGTAATACCAAGCTGAATTTTAGAAACAAATGGAAGGTGGAGTGGAGATTACCAAATCACAATCTAAATCATTCAGCAATAGACTAACAGAATTGGAAGGGACCTTGGAGGTCCTTCTAGTCCAACCCCCTGCTCAAGCAGGAAACCCTATACCACTTCAGACAAATGGTTGTCCAATTTCTTCTTAAAAACCTCCAGTGACAACAGAAGTCCTTGCCCTTTTTTAAAGGTCTCCATTAGGTAATTTCCCACTCCCAATCTCAGGTTTTATTGTTTTAGGTAATTGACTCAGTCAAATCCTGTTCCCTCATTAATTTCTGATGGAACTTAAGTTTCTCAGATCATCCACAGGTAGCAAAATATTTGGCCCTGAGGGATTATTCCAATGAGACTTACATATTTATTCAATGAGGGTACCACTTGGCTTATCTGAAAATTTAAGTTGAATAGATTCTCAAAACATGTGTGGTATACCACAGATATTCACATTCGTAATTAAACACCTCTAAAGTATATAGATGGGGCCTGGGGGGATCTATGGGGACATGGTGGCCTAGCAGTTAAGACACTGAGCTTGTCAACTGGAAGACTGGCAATTTGAGACCCAAGTATCACCTGTCAGTTGAGCTCCCGTTCCTGCTCCAGCTCCCGCCAACTAGCGGTTTGAAAGCATGCAAATGCAAATAGATAAATAGGTACCACTTTGGTGGGAAGGTAACAGTGTTCTGTGCACTTGGCACACAGTCATGCTAGCCACGTGACTATGGAAGCATCTTCGGACAATGCTGGCTTTCTCTGCTAGGAAACAGAGATACTGTAAGCACTACCTCCTAAAGTCAGACATGACTGGGCAGGGGAAACTTTTACCTTTATCTTTGAAAAATACAGGGTGTCTATGCTTTCACATCAATACACAACTGATCTGCCCTCTGGAAGTGCCCAACTTACTAGCCATTATACCAGCAAAATCCTCATACTATTAAGAGCAGAAAAAAATGGAGAAACATTTAAAAATAGAGATATTAGAATGGAGATTGGTTTGGGTCTAAGATAAGCACTACCGACTGAGGATAAAGATGTGGTAATGTGCAATTTATTTATTCCACACATTGTCTAAGATGACACACATCTTTATCTAGATGGCACTGTTCAGCAACACTAACTGAAAAATATGTAAATGTCTAGTAAAACCAATACAACTTTTGTTGTGGAGTCTGAAGATTGTCTGCCAAGAAGCAGCAATGGCTCACTGTTCTTCTCTCCTCCTACACTTTGGCATCTTGCACATATTCAAAAAAAAATCATCAAGATTAGGGTCACCTGATATTTCAAATCACAGATTCAATGCCTGGAGAGCTATTGCCATTTGTTAATTAAATCTGTTCACAACTGAACCATCCTGGAATAAAAACTACCTCCAGTTCCCTCTTTTTTGTTTCCATAAAGGGCATACAGAGGGTGAGCTTGGAGAAGGAATACACAGATCAGTCTGCAGTTGAGCCATATATATATAAAACACATGCATGTTCAATTATTAATATATTCTACTGATTGTCCACATCATCATAATTTTTTTTATATTCCTAAGAGATGCTTTACATTTTCGCAGATGACTTTCACAAATTTTCATTTTGTATGCATCTTGAACACATTTTTCATTAATAAACATATTTTTGCAAACATACATTTATTTTCCTGGTTTCCCAAATAGATGTGTTTATTTCACACTTTTTGTGCTGAGCTACATTTCAAGACAGATGTTGACAGCCTCAGTGAATTACCGGCTTGTTTGTAGTGGAACAGATTTTGTTTTAGCAGTTAAGACAATTCTGCATGGAAATGAATTAATTAACATTTTTCTGGCACCCCTAGTTCAGCAATTCCCAATTCAAACTTTCACCTTTGGAAGCCTAAGACAAGCTATGACTCCCACGGTTTTGACAAAATAAAAATCATGTACATTCACACTTTTATAAGCTTCTTCTCAAAGCAATTTATTGTTAAGATAAAAAGAAGGGTTTAAGGGATTAAAAGGGAAAAGCAGAAACAAAAATTTACATTTCAATAGGAAAACCACAACAACCCACAACAGCCTAATAATATCAGCAGGTTGCAGTTAAAACATGTTAAGTCTGAGTAAAATAAAAAGAGCTTTGCTTTATTATTTATTTATTTCATTATTTATATCTTGCCTTTATTATTTTTACACATAACTGAAGGCAGAAAACATATCTAACACACCTTCCTCCTCCTATTTTCCCTACAACAATAATTTGTGAAATGGGTTGGGCTGAGAGAGAGTGACTGGTCCAAAGTCACCCAAATGACTTTCATGGCTAAGACAAGACTTGAGCTCATGCTTTCTAGGCAGGTGGCTTAACCACTATACCAGAGATCTTCAAAATTGGCCCTTTTATGACTTGTGGACTTCAACTCCCATAATTCCTCAGCCAGCATGTCTGGCTGAGGAATTATGGCAGTTGAAGTCCACAAGTCATAAAAAGGCCATGTTTGAAGATCCCTGCACTAGACCAAACTGCCCTAGATTATTGCCAATAATCTTCATCAGGAAGATTATACTAGACATCATGAATCTTTTTATTAATAAAGTTATCTGTAAGTGTTACATGTGTTTGTCTATTCCCTTCATTTATTTTTCCCCCTAGTGGTTTGTGAGCAAAAGTTGTCCCAAAAGTATTTTGTTTGTAAGCTATGGAGACTTTAATGATTTAGAAATGCTAATATAATTTATTTCAACTGGATCCCAATTTAGATTTTAAGTGTCAGAAACCCCATTCATTTTATTGAATGGTTTCTTGACTATTTATAGGTTGAATTGCAGGTAAATGTTTCAGAATTTTCCCAGGGAAATTCAGCTATTTCTGTTTTGAAATAAAAGTATATCCCCTTCCTTAGTTCCAAACGGTTCAGTTTTTTTTTCTTTTTTCCATATTTCAAAATTGATGCAACTGTGTACCGATAATGTTTTCATCGAATCTTGCCAAAGAACCATTTCTGCAAACCTATCAGGCCATATCATAAAGAGGTTGCAGTAAATGTACAATATTACAAAATTCTAAACTGATGAAAACATTTCTCCTCCCCAATGTAAAATGAAACTGTGACTATGACAAAAAGATAATGACACAGATATTTGCACAATTTTCTAACTGTGCAGAATCCAGATGTGAATTTCTGCTGGGAATTAAATGTAGCCATAGTTCTAGAAAAAATATGGAATCGTTCTATTGATTCCGAGTTAGAAGTAGTAACTTAAATCAAAAACAGATTAAAAAAATCAGAGCACTTTTTTCAACACCAGCTTATTATGTTCCATGTAGCCAGTTTTTTTTCTTTGCTGCAGTTTTTAAAATCATTTCAGGGATAAAGGTATGAACTTTCCTGATATTTTGAAGGCTCCAAAAACCTGTAGTTGTTGTCACCAGGGAAAAACATTACCCATTATAGATGTAATTCACTTTGCTATTTTAAGAAGATATGTCATATGTAAAAAGTGGTTTATTTTCATAATTTTCAGTTTTCTACATTTATTAAAAGTAAAACTATAATTTAGTTGTATAATAATTGTGTTTGCCAGTTGAATTTACTTTAAAATCTTATTTACACATGGCTTTTGCACTCCTTTGGATTCTTTTGTCCTCTGAAGTGGATAAAAAGTCAGCAATAGATAAACCCAGATGCAAATCAGTATGAAATTCTCCTTTCTACTTTAGTGAAAATGGAAACCCAACAGAAGTAGCGGGAAATCCATTTTGCATGTTGGCTGGGAGTTGAAGCCCAAGCACCATAAAGTTGCTCAGGTTGAGAAACATTGCTGTAGATAAGAGGCATGCAACATATGTGCACCTTTTTGCTGTGTTTTGTTGTTTTTTTCACATAATTTCTATTCAAAAGGAGCCATCATGCCAATTCCATAGCAATAGCTGCATTCTCTCTACCAATGAGGATAGCTGGTACACCACCATAAGCTAATGAAAGATGTGTTAAGTACTTGACTTCTCAAACATAAAAATAGAACTAATGGCATGAACCAATTACAAACATGATGCATTCAAGGTATAGTCTCTGTCGTAAATTCCAGCATCTTATAGACTAAATAA